CGGGTGGGGCTCACGCCCCCCCCCTCCCCCCGCCAGCGCAGCCGCGCAGCAGGAACGGCCTGGCCGTCGCCCCTCCACTCCGGGGGCGTGCCACGGGGCTCCTCATGCCTCCCCACTAGCGCAGCCGCGCACCCCCCACACTCTGGGGGGCGCGTGGGGGCCTCCCTGCCCCTCCCTGCCTCTCTGGCCCGGGATGGCCCTGAGGCCGAAAACAAGGTTGAAGAACTTGCAACTTAAGAAGATGATGGTTACCAGCCCTGCATTACCTCAGGGGAAAACAAGAACTACTCTGCCATTCTTAAGGAAGCCAGATACCCAAGGACAACTCACACTGCAGACCCCCACAACACCATTCCTGGTAACTACAAGATGACTGCTGTGCCGCATCAGCTGATAATTATCCCTGTGTACCAGAACTGCTTTCCTGAAACTGCATTCCTTGGAGACTCACCTACACTTGTGGATCTGCCGGAGACCCTTCCTTATCCAACCCTGAGTGGAGTTTATGCTCCCTATTACCAAAAACTTTATGAGCTGATGGTTGGAACTTGTGGCCTCTCTCCCTTTACTTGTACGTATCACTTTTTCAGTAACTCTTCTGGAAGACAACTGTATATAGCAGGGATATTGTAATGGGAGAGTGAGACAAGGCAGTCGAATACCAGACAAAGGTAGCTTGAGAAACATGGAAAAAACATATATATGTGCATAAGCAAGAAAGTAGAAGTGGAATATTATTGATGATAACATGCTTGATTGGGTCACTGTGCAGTTTATTCTAGATGGGAGATTACATTTAGTACGCTGTGATGATGCTCAGGGAATGAATGCTAGGGAAAAAAAAAACGAAAACAAAAAACAAACAAAAAAAAAAACGGTAAAACTATTCGTACCATTTAAAAAAAAAAATGGATATTTGATGGCTGCAGTGAGCGGTATGGGCCCAGTTGGGTTCTACTTTATAGTATGCTCTTTTTACCCAATGGGGTTTAGGCCTAAAGTCAGACTTGAGTTCATGTAGAGGCATGTGTCAGCTGTGATAACTATTGGAGAGACTTAGACTAATTAAGAGCACTGACAGATCATTTGGGGAGGGGTGAGGCACGGAGGGCAATCGGGGATGACAGGGACAATGTGGGAGGAGGATGGGTCATAACAGAGGGAGGGGGATGGGGAATCTAGGATGGTAAAACAAAAGGCAAGGTATGCAGGACACAAGAATTGGGAAATTATTTGCTGAGAACATATATGTTGACGTGCTTGATTGAGCCAACGCACAGTATATATTGGATGGAAAATTTATTTGTGTGTTGCGATGGGAAAAAAAAATTATAATAAAAAATAAACTATAAAAAAAAAAGAGAAGAGGATAGAGAAAGATAGCAAGTGAACAATAGAGGGGATGTTAGTGAGAAACAGATATGGTTTATTATCTGTTGAAGATGACGTGTATAGTATTCTCAACTGGACTGGTCTGGGAAGTATTTCATGATGGGTGAAGTCTTTTAACAAGCAAAATGAGAAATAGTGATTGACTGTTTTAAAAAATTATAATAATAATAATTATTGGGAAATGCATGGAAAAGACTTTGAATGATAAAGCGGGGAGATCGATGCCTCTGTATTGACTGACATGCATGGCATTCCCTTTTGAAAAAGCAATGGAAGTCAATGTAAAGTTATATGTAATCCAATGTAATATAAAGAAGATTATGATAATAATAAAAAAAAAATCCCTCTGTATAGGGGGGGGTGGCAGCCCTCAAGTGACAAGGGTTTCATTCAGTAGATCATTCTTGCACTCATTTAGCCCCAACTGGCATAATTTTAAATAATAATAAATTAACATTTCAGATTATTAAGGAGTTTTATAAACTGAATTTTGCCCCCCCCTCCACCATTCACATGTTGAACCCCCACTGCAGCAATCTTTGAGATAGGGCCATAAGGGTGGGTCCCTAATTCAATAAGACTGGTGTCATTGTAAGAACAGGATGATGCCAGAATTAGCTCTCTCACCTCTGCACAGAGAAGAGGCCCTGTGAGGACACCTGAGAAGGAAACTGTACAAGCCAGGAAGAGGGGGCCCAGAAACCAACCCCAATGGCATTTTTATCTTGCACTTCTTTTTTTTTTAAAGTAAAACTTTTAATTGTGTTCATGTTATTATCAATATCTTTAAATATTATTTGAATATTGTGATTTAACAGGTCTAATGATTTTAATATTCTTCCAAAAGAACATTTATAATTGATACGCTAATCTGAGTTCATTAAGTCACCACTCAGTTTTAACTTTTGAAATGTGTTCCAAATGGGACTGTGCTCCATGATGTAAGCTTTAGCTCTGACCATTCTGCCACAGGTGTATGTATGGTTCGGAAGCAGTCTTAGCTACAGTGCACATCAGATTAATAGCATTTACTGTGTTATGTACTGGAATTACCCATAAGTTACTTCCCAGGAAACTCTGTGGAGTCCTTAGTTTCCATCCTTCAAGTCCATGGAAGACATCTCGCACTTCTAGCCTCCAGAAAATAAATACCTGTTTTTAAGTCAGCCAGTTTGTGGTGTTCTGTTATGGTAGCCTGAACTCAGTAAGATCAAAGAATAAAATCCCTCACTTTTAGGCCAGCTA